AACTGAGGCAGGAGGATCACAAGTTCAAAGCCAGCCTCAGCAACAGTGAGGTGCTAAGCAACTCAGTGAGACCTTGTGTTTCAGTGACCAAGTGCCCCGGAGTTCAGTCCCTAGTACCCTCTTCCCAGCCAAAAAAAAAAAAAGTCTCAACAAGTTGCTGAGGACCTCACTGAGTTGCTGAGTCTGGCCTCAAACTTGTGATCCTCCTGCCTCAAATTCCTGAATTGCTGGAATTACAGGCATGTGTTATTGTGCCTGGTTTAGGCTCTCTGGCCTTTGGATTTACACCAGTGGTCCCAGGTTCTTAGGCTTCTGGCCTTGGACTGAGAGTTACGCCATTAGCTTACCTGGTTCTGAGGCCTCCAACTTGGCTTGAGCCATGCTGCCTGTGTCCAGCTTGCAGATAGAGGGTCTGTCATGGGACTTCTCAGCAGCCATAACTGCATAGCCAATTCCCCTAATAAGCCCTTCTCACATATCTATGTAAATATCATATTGGGTCTGTCTCTCCTTCATACAGTTTCTTCCTGTTTTCTTTAAATGTTGCATTTTGGTCCCTGGCAGGTCATCTTGGAATTCCTGTCCCTTCTGCCCCAGAGGTGGCAGTGGCAGTTCCAATCTCTTGCTCTCATCGCCTTAAGACAAATGCAGAATCTTCTGCATGGCCATCAGATCCCCTATAACCTGATCCTTGAGCCCCCACAGAGATTTTAAATAGCAAAACACCAAGGAATATTACAAATAATTATATATTAGTAAATATAAAAGCTTAAGCAAAGTAAATGTTTATAGAAAAATGAGAAATGCCCAAATGGGCATAATATAACAAACTTTCATAGAACCATAATCAGTAAAGAAAATCATATGTGGGCTGGGGGTGTGGCTCAAGTGGTAGCGTGCTTGCCTGGCATGTGTGCAGCCCGGGTTCAATCCTCAGCACCACATACAAACAAAGATGTTGTGTCCGCCAAAAACTAAAAAATAAATATTAAAATTAAAAAAAAAAAAAAGAAAATCATATGTAAGACTCCAGTGTACAGGAGCCCCAACAGACACTCTTAGAGGGACTTCCACCAGAAGAACACAGGACAGATGACCTTTATCTTATGTCAGTTTTTCCAAAAGCCAGGGAATGAGAGAAGGCTGCCCAATTTCTCATTTGACTCCTGATCCAGAAAAGGAAAGGAAAATAGAGCTTTGGGTTGTAGACACAATGTTAAACTATAAACTAGTAGAACAAAATATAGGAGATTGCCGCACCTAGGGGTGGAAAAAGGACTTGTTGAGACTCCACAAGACTGGGGTATAGCTCAGAGGCAGAGGATTTGCCTAGCCAGCACTGCAAAAATGAAAAAGAAAAAAGGAAAAAAGGAAAACTCCACCAATACAAACCCTATCCAAAAAACGTTTGGATCTGATTTCATCAATATTTTTAAGAATTTCTGGGGGCTGGGGTTGTGGCTCAGCGGTGGAGTGCTCGTCTAGCACGTGCGAGGCCCTGGGTTGGATCTTTAGTACCTTATAAAAATAAATAAAAGTATTGTGTCCAACTACAACTAAAAAATAAATATTAGAAAAAAAAGAATTTCTGTTCCACAAAGACCCTCAGAGACAAGTGGACAAATGATTATGATCCAGGGCATATAGAACTGCAAGTCAATCAGTAAAAGACAAAAACACAATAGAAGTGTTGCGGGTGGGACTCAGTGGTAGAGCATGTGTTTAGCATGTGCCAGGCAGGCCCTGGGTTCCATCCCCAGCACTGCAGAAAACAAAGCAAAAATCTGTGGTAAAGCACCCCTGGGTTTAATTCCTAGTACCAATACGTTTGTGTGTGTGTGTGTGTGCGTGCGCGCACTTGTGAGTGAGTGTGTGTATGAGTATAAATAAGGCAAGATACCATTTTATACTCACAGGGTTAGGAAAAATTCACAAGATGTATTATACTAACATTTGCAAGAATGTAGGCAGAAAGCTGTGGTCACTTCTGCAGGGCATGTACAATGGTATAGCCTTTCTCTGGAGCAATCTGAAATTTGTCTTGTGTTTGTGCCAAGTCCTCACACTCTTGATCCTTGATAAATAAGTCAGGGAAGTTCTCTAGCTGGTATCCAGAGAGGCGTGTACAAGGTCCTTTCACCACAGTGTCCTTTGTGGAAACAAGAGTTGGGAGCAACCTTGGCACTTCCCAACAGAAGAGTGGACTAAGTGACGTGTGATGGAGGAAAACTACAGAAATCTGCAGTAGTGAGAACCAACACAGGAAGATTTTAAACACAGTAATATTGAAGAAACAGAGTAAGGAACAAAAATGAGATCTGTACCATTTATACAAACTAAGAACACATAATACCATTTATATAAGCTAAAAACATGAGAGCCACAAACAGCGTCAGGAGGCAGGCACCAACGTGAAGCATGGGTACGACCAGGGCTTCAATCACTGATTTGCTGGAAAGTTCCTCAAGGAACCCATGCATAGACCTCTTTAATCGATACCAGCAGTGTGTTCAGAAAGCAATAAAAGAGAAAGAGGGGGCTGGGGATGTGGCTCAAGCGGTAGCGCGCTCGCCTGGCATGCGTGCGGCCCGGGTTCGATACTCAGCACCACATACCAACAAAGATGTTGTGTCCGCCGAGAACTAAAAATAAATAAATAAATAAATAAAATATTTAAAAAAAAAAAAAAAAGAGAAAGAGGTTCCTGGCAAAGAAAAGCCTGAAAACTCTTTTTGATATTAACAGTCATCTTTTTTTCTTAATTTTTTTTTTTTTTTTAGTTGCCAATAGATTTTTCACTTTATTTGTTGACTCATTTGTGGTGCTGAGGATCAAACCCAGGGCCTCACACATGCTAGGCAAGTGCTCCACCTCTGAGCCACAGCCCCAGTCCCTTAACTGTCATCTTGAAAATAGATTCCTATATCAGAAAATTGAGGACTCTGGATTTTGTCAACTAAGACTATGAAGATAGCTGTGGAATTCAATGAATTTAGGAGGCAGATGTTTTATTTCTTCTCTATTGATGTTTTCCTCTCACTTGTAAAAGATGATGAACCACCACTCTGCTTTGAGATGATTTCTCACTTGTTCTGGCATCTTCCAGAACTCAGTGGGCTAAAACTGAATAGTTTCTTGGGATTATGGTTGCAATACATGGTCTGGATTCAGCTTTAAATATATCTTGGGGACTGGGGATGTGGCTCAAGCGGTAGCGCGCTCGCCTGGCATGCGTGCGGCCCGGGTTCGATCCCCAGCACCACATACAAACAAAGATGTTGTGTCCGCCGAAAACTAAAAAATAAATATTAAAAAATTCTCTCTCTCTCTAAATAAATAAATAAATAAATAAATAAATATATCTTGTATATAAATTATTGATAAACTAGTCAAGATGATCAGGGTTGCCTGACTTCTTGGTTTTGCTGCAGAGGACATTAAGTACATTGTACTGGGGTCATTGTTCACGAAAGCAATTGGTTAGGACCTCTTTCTTCTCTCAGGGAGCTAATGCTTTAAAAAGGAATCCAGGCACAACAGTTTCATCCAGTTTATTTTTATATAGTAACTAACAGTTAAAGATTGCTGGTGGCCTGGGTTAGCAAAGAGGAAGATATTTTTTTATCAGACAGTTCCCTGCCTTAATAAGAGGTGTTCAATTAAGACATGAAAGCTTCAAGATGTTAAAATGAACACCATTTCAGAGCTCACAGCATAGTTCTGGAATTACATTACTTGGAGTTGCTATGGCAAAAGAACCCAAACTACAAAAATTTGTTATTGCCAGTTATCCACCCAAGTTAATGAATTAAGTCATGCTGCATATCATAAAAACATCAAAATGCTGAATCTGGTTAAATAGAGGGGAAAAGTGCTTGCTTCATTTGCCTTGTTTGCCCACCCTGCCCTGTAACGTCTAAATCATAATGATGGAATAAATTTTAACATTTAGTTTTTATAAAAAAAAAAACATGAATACACAAAAAATGACATTAGATACTTCAAAGGACCCATTCATCTGTAACTGGGATGGGAATGGGGATCAAAGATACAGAAGAAAAATACTAAACCAAAACAAGAAGGCGGCCTTGCATCCACTGATGCTTGTCATACCATGTGAGACAAGAAAGATAATGAACTCTGCTCTCTGCTCCTGAGGACTAAAAGAAAAGGAGATGTGTGCAAAGGACATGAACAGGCAACTCGTACAGAAAGCACCAATGGCCTATCGAGAAGAAATACCCGAGTCTCGTAAACAATGCAGGGAATACGCATTATAGCAACAAGAAAAATATTTTTCATGTATTTTCAGGAATTTGAAAGATTATAATAGAAAGATTCATTTACTTTGCTGGCTGATGGGAATCTACATTGATTTAAGTATTGAAGGCAGTAATTAGCACTGTCAAAATGTAAACTGCTTAAGGCACTTATCTTGCAGAAATACTCAGGTGTGCAAAGGCACATTCGCAAGGACATCCCCAGCTGCCCTCTCTGTAGGAGGGAAGCAAGTGGGGGCTATGCCCAAGTTTGACAAGAGAAGATGGGTCAAGTACATTATGCTGCTTGTAGTATGAAACACCATGAAGATGGTGATGGCTGGGGTGGCTTGTGTGTACTGACAGGGAAAGAAGAACAACTACTTCCCCACACCTTCAGCCAGGACGTTCTGCTGCCTCCATGTCTATCAGTCAGTAGTCATAATCACCCACATTTACCTAGTGATTTACCTTTGTGATTTCATTTAGTCCCCGAAACGCACATATGACCTGGGCTCATCACCCAGTTTTGTAGGGTGAAGAAGTGGTCACAGCCCCGATGGTTCCCTGGACCCTGCTGAACTCTCCCCGTGGAAAGAAGTAGGCCTCACATACATACTGACCCCACCTGGCTGTGCTTTTTGACAAAGCCCTTGAAACTGACCAAGAACTGGTTGCCATAGAGATGGCCATAGAGATGGCCTGGAGGACAGTTCCAGGGCTGGCAGGTGGGAGTGGGGAATGAAGCCGGACACCAACATGCTAAACACCCATCAACAGTTGGTCAGGGCCAACTCGGAAAGACCAGCTCAGGACCTGGGCCCTCAGACTCCAGAGACAGCCACAGGCCTACTCCAGCTTCTGTCCGGCTTTTCCCCGGCAGAGCAGGTGAGGGAAGCGGGCCCAGTGCGGGAGACTGCCAGCCTCCTAGAGCAGGCCAGGGCTGGGGGAGGCTCTGAGAAGCCAAGAGCCTGGAGCTGAGGTCTGGGTGACCTCTGGGACAGGGACTGTGGGGAAGCCTAAAGGATATGAGGTGAGGATGAGGAATGAGGGAGCAATTTAGGGATCACTGCTGGGGGAGCAGGTTTTGGAAAAGAAAATTAATTCCTTCCATCTTGGCTGTAGAAAGTCCAAGGCCCTGTGGAACATTCAGAAGAACTGTTCTTCATTATTTGTTTTAATTCTTTATTTTTTTCTTGGTTAATTGATTCTCTTTTAAATATTATTATTATTACTTTTTTTGGTACCGGGGATTGAGCCCAGGGGTGCTTAACCACTGAGCCACATCCCCGCCCTTTTTATATTTTATGTAAAGACAGGATCTCATTAAGTTGCTTAGAACCTCCTAAAGTTGCTGAGGCTGGCTTTTTTTGTGTGAGGAGGGGAGGGGTACTGAGATTTCTTTCCCCTTTTTTTTTTTGTGTGTGTATGTGTCAGGGATTGAACCCAGGGCCTTATGTCTATTGCCAGGCAAGCACTCTACCAACTGAGATATACCCCAGCCTTTTTTTTTTTTTATACTGGGGATTGAACTCAGGGGCATTTGACCACTGAGCCAAATTCCCAGCCATATTTTGTATTTTATTTAGAGACAGGGGCTCACTGAGATGCTTAGCGCCTCGCTTTTTGCTGAGGCTGGCTTTGAACTTGAGCTACTCCTGCCTCATCCTCCCGATCTGCTGGGATTTCAGGCGTGTGCCACTGCACCCAGCTTAAAAATTTATTTATTTATTTTTAAATTTTCAAAATTTTAACTGACACATAATAATTGCACATATTTATGGGGCACAATATGAAACTGGATAGATGTGGACATTATGTAATGAGCAAATCAGGGTAATCAGCCTTTCTATCTCCTTAAACATTTATCATCTCTTTGTTGGGAATCTTCAAACTCCTTCTTGGCAGCAGAGGGTGACAAACAAATCTGGATTCTGGCAATAGACTCCACATGTGCTGGTCCTGCCTCTACAAATTACAAAGGCTGTGTGACCTCAGCTCTTAGACCTCTCTGAGCTTCTTTGATCCTGTTTTTGCATATGCATGATGGGGTGATAGCCCTTGGGAAGGTTGACTGTGTTGTTGCCTCCAAGTACTGAGCACAGGAAATCTGCTTATTCAGGCTGTAATTTTAATACGGAGAATGGCGGTGGGTGGGGATCAGTGTGAGAGGTAATGAGGGCCAGCCAGTGTTCATAGGAGGCCCTTGGGAGGCGCAGAGTGGTCCAACAGGCTGCTCAGAGCTGGCCCCCTCTCTGGTCCTTGCCCAGGGGAACCTGGGGAATGATGATGATGTGCCCAGGCAAGGCCGGCCACAGAGGTCTCAGAGCGCAGGGCAGAGGGCAAAGAAGGACTGCGGAACCCAGGGGCGGAACAAGAAAGGACAAGCCTCCGCTGAGGATGAGGAGTAAGCAGTTGGGCATGGGGTGGGAGGGATGCAGGGGCCCAGGAGGATCCTGATGCTGACCCCTGTCCTCTCCCTCTTCAGTCTCTTCCCGGCTCCTCTCCGGAAACCCTCCTTCCCCTTCCAGTGGGCCTGGGAGAACTTCATCATGGATGGTCAGGCTCTGCTTCAGACAAGCTCCCCTGAGGCCCCTGGCCACCAAGTCCTGCCCTCGCCCCTAGCAATCCTCCAGCACAAGTCCAGGCGCAAATCCATGTTCAACTTCCCAGAATCCCTTGATTTCTGCCAAAAGACGGAGATGCAAAATCTGGAACAGAGACAGCAGCTGGGGGCCTGGGGTGGCATCCTCCTCCCTCCCAGCAAAGGGGAGAACCAAGGGCTGGAGCTATCTAGCAAGTGTGGCCTCTGGCTGCCTGGGAAGAGGTCAGGATCAGAAACAGAGTCCGAGGAGGCTGCAGAGCGGGAGGGCCTAGGTGTGGAGGAGGTGGAGAGGGGTCTGAGCCCTGGGGAACTGCTCCAGATCCCCAGGAGGGGCTTGATTTTGGAGGAGGAGCGGTTCTCAGAGGCAACCGAGGAGGCTGAGCAGTGGGATCACAGCGCCCCCCACAGGAGGAAGGGCAGCTCTCAGAAAAAAGGTCAGAATTCTGGAAAGGAGGCTTTGGAAGAAGGGGAGCTGCGGGGCCAGAGCCAGGGAAGCAGCTCCAGCTTCAACAGCTTCAGAGGGTCACAGAGGGGGATGTCAAAGGCCAAAGAGGTGCAGGGGCCCTGGGACCTAGAGAAGCTGCACGGGCAGTTACAGCAAGAATTGAACTGTGGTGAGTGCGCCTGCCAGGCCTGGGTTCCCTGGAAGCCGCCCTGGGGGGAAGGGGCAGGGAGCCCGGGCCTGAGCCAAGAGTTCAGACTGGGCTGTGCTGTGCTCTGGGGGATGGTGGGGGGACTGCCCAGTGGGCCAGGAGGGGGGGTTTCCCTGACTTGGTTCCACTGCTAATAGGCCCCCAAAAGCAGTCCTGGAAGGCTTTCCGGGCTGCCTCCATCCGGAGTGAGAAAGCCCATGACATGGGAGAAAAGGAAAAGTTCCTGTTTGCCAGCTTCCCTAATCGCACCTTCCACAAACGACATGAGGCCACCAGGTAAGGGGGCAGAGCCCGGAGGGTGGGAACCCAGGCAAGGGTTGGGGAAGGGGCCAGTTCTCCAACAGGCTGTCACTGCACGCTCATCCATTCCTTCGTCCATTCATGGTTCCGTCTTCCTGCCCCACCAGTCATCCTACATCCACCCATCCACCCATTCATCCATTTTTTTCCTTTCTCCCTTTTTTTTCGGTGACACCAGGGATTGAATCCAGGGCCTTGTGCCTGCTAGGCAAACACTCTGCCACTAAGCACACCTCAGTCCCCATCCATCTTTATTTTTGGTACCTAGGATTGTTGAACTCGGGCACTCATCCACTGAGTATTTTATTTAGAGACAAGGTGTCACAGAGTTGCATAGCTCCTCACCGTTCCTGAGGCTGGCTTTGAACTCTTGATCCTCCTGCTTCAGCCTCCGAGTCGCTGACTATATCTCCTGATAGCATCTATTCCCAGCTTTCATTCACCAGACTGTGTCTTCCAACTGTCTATTGATACAACCCATTTCCACTCATTTCCCATCTTTCCTTGTATCCATTCATTAACCTATTAGCTAACTGATTAATGTAACATAGGTCGAGTGTCTGCTCATGAATCCTCGGGATATAAAGATAAAAATACTTGGCTCAATCCTGAGAAGCTCAAGGTCTGGGAAAGGAGAGAGATGGGCAAGTACAACAGTTCAGGCAGATGGTTCTACACTTGGGCTTGAACAAGAGGCCATGGGAACAGAGGGGAGAAACTGGAGGCTATGAGAGGGCTGTTGGCAGTGACTAGGTAAGAGATGATTACCTGAACCAGGCGGCTAGGTGGATGGAGAAAAGGGGATGCACTTAAGAGATATTTAAAGACTACCTCAATGGGCTTGGTGACTGGTCAGAAGTGGCATGAGAAGTCAGGGAAAATTCATTCAGCACTTTTTTTTCATAATGACTTTTATTTATTTATTTTTCTATGTGATGCTGAGAATCAAACCCAGTGCCTCCCACATGCTAGGCAAACGCTCTACCACTGAGCCACAACCCCAGCCCTCATTCAGCATTTTTTATTATAACACTCTCAATCCTTTTTTTTAATGTACTCAGTTGACAATTTAACATTGTATATATGTTTTTGAATTAGGTATACACTGTGGCATGGCTAAATCAAGCTGATCCCCTATGCATTATCTCACTATTTTTTTAAACACTTAAAATTTACTCTTTTTAGTGATTTTCAAGCATACAATCACATTGTAGATCTCTTGGACTTATTTCCCCTAACTAAAATTTTATACCCTTTGCCAACACCTCCCCAGTCCTCCCCTGCTCTGAGACACTGGTAATCACTATCTTACTCTAGGAGAACAGTTTTTGTTTTGTTTTGTTTTAGATTCCACCTGCATGAGATCATGCAGTATTTGTTTTTCTAAACCTGGCTTCTTTCATTTAAAATAATGTCTTCCAGGTTCCACCACGTTATTCCAAATAAAGTTTCCACCGTTTTTATAAGCTGAATAGAATTCCATTATGTGTATATACCACCTTTTCTTTATCATTCATTCATTGATGGACACTTAGGTTGATTCTATATCTTGGCTATAGTGCATAATGTTTCAGTAAACTTGGGAATGCAAATGTCTTGTCAAAATACTGATTTTGGAGCCAGGCACGCCTGTAATTCCAGAGGCTTGAGAGGCTGAGGCAGGAGGATCATGAGTTCAAAGCCAGCTTCAGCAATGAAGAGGCACTAAGCAACTCCATGAGACTGTCTCTAAATAAAAAACAAAATAGGGCTGGGGATGTGGCTCAGTGGTAGAGTGCTTGCCTTGTGTGAGGCATTGGATTGGATTTTCAGCACCACCCATAAATAAATAAAAGTTCACTGACAGCTAGGAAAAAATATTTTAAAAATACTGATTTTGTTTCCTTTTTTTGGAGGGGTGTGCTTAACCATTGAGTCACATTCCCAACCCATTTTTGTTTTTTATTTTGAGACAGGTTTTCACTGAGTTGCTTAGGGCCCCCCTAAATTACTGAGACTGACTTTGAACTTGCAATCCTCCTGCCTCAGCATATTGATATGCTTGGATTACAGGCAAGCACCACTGGGCCCAGCTAGTTCCTTTTTTTGTTTGTTTGTTTGTTTGTTTGTTTGTTTGTTTTGGTACCAGGGACTGAACCCAGGGGCACTTAAACACTGAGCCACATTCACAGCCCTTTGTGGTATTTTATTTAGAGACAGGGTCTCATTGATTTGCTTAGGGCCTCACTAAATTGCTGAGGCTGGCTTTACCTTAGCCTCCTGCACAGCTGATATCACAGGCTTGCTCCACCACGTCCAGATTCATTGTGATTTTTAATCCACATTTATCTAATAGTGATATTGAACATTTTTTTTTCTTTCTTTCTTTTTGGGTAGGGAGGGTACTGGGAATTGAACCCAGGGGTGCTCCACCACGGAGCAACATCCTCAGTCCTTTTCAATTTTTTATTTTGAGACAAGATTTCACTAAGTTTCTGAGGCTGACCTTGAACTTTCGATACTCCTGCTTCAGCCTCCTGAGTAACACTGCTGCTCCTGGCTGAACAGTTTTTCATATACCTGTTGGCCATTTGTTTGTATTCTTTTGGGAAATGTCTATTCAGGTCCTTTGCTCGTTATTTAATTGGGTTGCTTTCTTGCTATTGACTTCCTCGTATATTTTGGATATTAACCTCTTACCAGATGTAAATTGTGTTGGTTTTTCACTGCTGTGACCAAAATACCTGACACCAACAATGTAAAGGAAGGAAGATTTATTCTGGCTCACGATTTCAGAGGCTTCAGTCCATGGTTGGCCAGCTGTTAGGCAGGAACATCAAGGTGGAAGGGTGTGGTGGAGGAAAGCTGTCAGTTCATGGCAGCCAGGAAGGGAGGGGGTGGGCAGTTTAAGAGACAGAAGGCAGGAGGAAGAAGGGGCCGCGAATAGAAAGAGTCTTCAAGGCCATGCCCTCACTCACCTACTTCCACCTACCTTCTACTGCCTGGAGTTAGCACCCAATGGTCCAATCAAAGTATTAGTCCATCAAATGGATTAATCCACTGATACAGTCACAGCCCTCATGATCCAATCATTTTCTAAAAGCCCACCTCTGAACCTGGCTGCACTGGGGACCATACTTTCAACACATGAGCTTTTTGAGGACATTTGAGATCCAAACCATAACATATGGTTTGTCAATGTTTTCTCCCATTCTGTAGGTTGTTTCCTTGATGCAATCTCAAGTACCTATTTTTACTTTTATTGCCTGTCCATGAGAGGTCCTATCCAAAAAAACCATTGCCCAGACCAATATGATGCGGCTTTCCCCATGTTTTCTTCTAGTAGTTTTACAGTGTCAGGTCTATGTTCAATGTTTAATCCATTTTAAATTGACTTATGTATGTGGTGTGAGATAAAGGAATCTAATTCTTCTGTATGTGGATATTTGGTTTTCCGAGCCTGATTGATAAAGATCATTATTGAAAAGATTGTCTTTCCCTATTGTGTGTTCTTGGCATCTTTATCAAAATCAATTGACCATAAGTGCATGGATTTATTTCTAGGCTCTGTATTCTGTTCCATTTGCCTATATAACTGTTTTATTCTAGCACCATGCTGTTTTAATCTCTATAGTTTGTGTGGTATATTTTTAAACCAGGCAGTATAATGCCTTTAGTTTTTTGTTTCTTTTTTTCCCCCCTTATGATTGTGCTGGCTTTCTAGGGTCTTTTGTGATTCCATATGAATTTTCATTTTTGAATTGTTTCTCTCTCTTTTTAACTAGGAATTGAGCCCAGGGGTGCCCTACCACCGAGCTACATCACCAACCCTTTTCCTTTTATTTTTAAATTTTGACAGAAGGTCTCACTAAGTTGCCCAGCATGGTCTTGAACTTGCTATCCTTCTGCTTCAGGCTTCTGAGTACCTGGGATTACAGGCACAAACCACAGTACCTGGAAGGATTGTTTTGTTTTTCTTTCTGTGAAGAATAGCCTTAGAATTTTTTGGAGTGGGGAGGGGGTACTAGGAATTGAACCCAGTGTGCTTTACCACTGAGCTACATCCTCAGCCATTTTTATTTTTTATTTTGAGAAAGGGTCTTGCTAAGTTGTTTAGAGCCTCACTTAGTTGCCTAGGCTGGCCTCGAACTTGTGATCCTCCTGCCTCAGCCTCCCAAGTGGCTGGGATTTCAGGTGTGCACCACTGTGCCTGGCAGGTCATTGGAATTTTGATAGAGATTCCATTTATTCTAATTGCTTTGGGTAGTGTGCTGCTATTATACAAGAATCCACATCTTTCATCTGTCTGTTTTTCTATTCAGTAATCCTTTCAGCATTTTGTTCCTTTCCCATCCATTCATTCATCTTTCTGTCTGTTGCCCATCCAACCAAATGTGCCTCAGACCTTTTCTGGTAACTCCTACAGGATAAGGGGTCAGAGAGAAAAGCAACATTGTCCCCTGCCTTCAAGGGGAGGTGAGCAAGGATGGAGGGCCTCAGGCTTTGCATGAGTGGCTGGGGAGGTCTGCGCACAGATCAGAGTTGGGCTCACTGCTGGAGAGCAAGGAAAGGCCTAAGGGGGGCCCATGGCCAAATGGCCAGATGCAGCCTCCCTCGGGTCTGACATTCATGACAAACCTGTTTCCCAGGCCCTTGGCTCACTGGGCCCCAAAGTCCTTCTGCCCAGGTCCTCAAGGCTGGTATGTGCTATGCTTCCATACTCACCTACCACCCCTAGCTTTCCCTGAGGTTCCTGGTCCCTTTGACTTCTTCCCACCTCCCTCTTCCCTCTCCCCACACAGAAGCCTGCTGCAGAGTTGGGAGCGGCAGCAGCGGGAGCAGCAGCATCAGGCTGAGCTGCGCAGGACTCGGGAACATCGGGTTCAGCAGCAGGTGGTCCGCTGCCTAGCATCCTATGCACCCCCAGGGGGCCGGGGGCCCAGTGCCACCCAGCGCAAGGTGGAGGAACTGAGGTAGGAGCCTGGCATGCCAAAAGTCTGTTGGGGTAAGGCAGAGAAGTTTGCTGGATGTCAGGCTGCAGGACCCCAAGGCAGCTGGCCAGACCACCTGGCAGCATTTTACAGATGGCTTTTTTTAAGGGGGGTGCTGTGGTGCTGGGGACTAACCCAGGGCCTCATGCTGACTCCACCACTGAGCTCCATCCCTATCCTTGAGTTTTACAGATAATGAGGTAGCGTGAGGACGGTGGGAGGTCTTGGTTCAAGGTGAGCTAGTGAATAATAATAACCCTTCAGCTGTCCAATGCTCAAGATCAAAAGTTCTGCATGCATTTATCACATTTCCCAATTTTGTTCTTCCAATTTCCAATGACAGATATGCTTATTATTATATTTTTTTAAGTATGACAAAATTTAATACATTTTTTTTTAGAGAGAGAGAGAGAATTTTTAATATTTTTTTTTTTTAGTTTTTGGCGGACACAACATCTTTGTTTGTATGTGGTGCTGAGGATTGAACCCGGGCCGCACACATGCCAGGCGAGCGCGCTACCGCTTGAGCCACATCCCCAGCCCAGATATGCTTATTATAAAGATGTGAAATCACAAAAATAATTAATGTAGAACTTGGTCCTATTCTAGAGACAACTGCTGTGCATGGTCAGGTGCATTTTTATTCTCTTCCATTTTTCCAAAATTTCAAAGCAAATTTATGAGTCAGACCCATGAAATAAAGAGCGTCACTACCCACATAGTCCTACAGATGAGGACAACTGAAACCCAGAGAGCTTAAATGATCCACCCACTCTTGAATGAGCAGCAGAGCTGGAGCTTTGGCTCCAGCAGCCGTTCAATACAGTCCTTGCTGTACTGCCCAGTGCCCAACCTTCAGGGAAGGGCACCAGATGGTCGTCCAAGAGCCCAATCTTATGAAACAGAGAGCGTTAATAATCTGACCCTGCAGGCTGCAGCTGGTTCCAGGGAGGCCCTTTCCACCCCTCCTCTTCTCTTGACCTCGGTGAGTGGCAGGGAGAGGGATGAGGGCCACTGAGGCCTTGGTGGGGCTCTGATCAGCTATTCTCTGAGTTTTGGTCTTGTCCCTGCAGTTTACAGATGAGGAAATGGGCTGTGAGAGGTCAAGTGTTTTAGGGGATCCTTGGCCAAAGATTGCCAAGCCTCCAGTTAATCATTTGTTTTTTGAGCAATGGGAAGTGTGAGATTCAGCTCCAAGCAGTACGTGCCTTTCTTTCTCACCTGGGAGATGAAGGCATACACAGATCTTTCCCTGGCTATCTTCCAGTCTTACAGCCTGGGAAATTTGCTGTCTGAGCTAAATCTGAGACTCTACCCTGCCCAGCAGGGGCAGGCACAGAAGAGGTAGCCTGATGGCAGGGAGATATATCTTCCCATCACTCCAAGATAACAGACAGAGGGCTGGGCTGTCGCTTAGTAGCAGAGCATTTGCCTAGCATGTATAAGGCCCTGTGCTTAATCCCCAGCAGCACAAAAATAATGACAAAAAAAAAAACAATATAACACACAGAACTGACATCCACTGGCACTGAGTCCTTTTTCTCTTGGGGCTCCAAGACATGAGCTTCCTGTCACTTCTACCAAAAATAGGATAAAGTATCCAGGAAGAAGCTGAGAGCAGTGGTGCAAGCCAGTTGTTCCCAGATTGCTTGGGCCCAGGAGTTTGAGAGCAGCCTGGGCAATACAACGAGATCCTGATCCAATACAATAACAGCAAAATTTGTATTTTAAAAGTATAAAGCAATGCCAGGTGCAGTGTGCATGCCTGTAATCCCAACTACTTGGGAGGCTGAGACAGGAGAATTGTGAGTTCAAAGCCAGCCTCAGCAATGGCAGGGCACTAAGCAACTCAGTGAGACCCTGTCTCTAAATACAAAAATAGGGCTGGGGATGTGGTTCAGTGGTTGAGTGGCCCGGAGTTCAATCCTCAGTACCAAAAGCAAAAACAAAACAAACCCAAAAGTAGACAGCAAGAAAAACGCACACACAACCATGGAAAAGACAGATACTTAATGCCAGCTTGTGATGCTGCCCCACCCCCACCCAAACTTGAAACTGCTGTAAATTCCCTCTTGAATGGTGAAGCCCCATTTTGCAGGCACTTTTCTTCCTGGCCATGTATTTCTAAGTCCACATCCTTTTCTCCATGAGGGAAGGTTCCTTCTTGGGCACCTGGCCCAGCGAGGCAAGAGTTTTCTGCCAGAGAGCCAGAACACTTGCCAGAGAGCCCAGCTGGTCTCAAGTTTCTTCTACTTCTCCCTCCTGTCTTATCCAGGTGCTGCCCCCACATCCCATGGGTTGTCTTGGGTGCTTTCCTGAAGGACATATGGTCCCATGTGGGGTGTGGCCAGAAGGTCCCCTTCCACCAGGATGCTCTCAACAACAAGCAATGGCATTCAACTGGTTGAGCAAATTTCTGACAATTGTACAAACTGGGCTTTTGTAAATGGCATCAGCTACCCCAGTGGAGCCCTGACCTTTCAGGAATGTTTCATTTCAACACATTTCTTTGGTTTCTCTGAACCTTTTCCTAAGCTGTCTGCTTAGAAGGAGCAGAGCCACCACTGGCAAGCCTGGAAGGTAACCAGAGCCCAGAAAGGGGACTCCTCAGTCACACAGCCAGCAATCACAGCATGCTCCTGTGTGAGGGGGAATGACGGGTGGACTACAGGGAGGGGGAGCTGGGAAGCCAATGCTGGCTCCGTTCCCTTGGGGATAGCAAGGACAAGGAGCCAGCCCTGGCTAGAGCCTGGCCTAGGGCTCAGGGCTCAGTCCCTCACTTCCCAGCTGCACAACCTTAGAGAAGTCCCTTGACCTTCCTGAGCCATCAGTAAGGTAGGGCAAGTAATTCCCACCCTGGCAGACCTGGGAGGGGTCCAGAGCCAGGATTATGTATGAAATGGCTTTATAAAGGTCAGAGCAGGGACCTTTATAAAACCCTTAGTGAGGACAAGCAGGCTGTGGACAGGGATGGGTTGTGTTCATCCCCATAGCACTATCTCCCCCACAGGCGCCAAGAGCGACAGCGCTTTGCTGAGTACCAGGCGGAGTTGCAGGGCATCCAACACAGGGTGCAGGCCCGGCCCTTCCTATTCCAGCAGGCCATGCAGGTGAGGGCCAGCACCTGTCAAAGCCAACAGCCACCAGGGAGCGTGGAGCCAGCTGAGTGGGCAGGGTAGCCAGGTGGAAGTGGGGCACTCAGGTGGGGTCCCTGTGTTGCTGCCTCCAGGGAAACCCGAGACATCCCCACCCCCAGTCATCGATGCTCCACGGTGGCCTCTGCAGACCTGATGCAGAGAAGGAAACCCCTTCTTTCCTCAGACCAATGCCAGGCTCACCGTGGCCCGGCGCTTCTCCCAGGTGCTGTCAGCACTAGGAGTGAATGAGGAGGAGCTGGTGGCTGAGACACATAAAAGGGACACAGTGGGAACCTCCAGGAAACCCAGGTGAGGTAATCTGGATAGCCAAAGACCGGATCTACAGAACTACTATAGGACAAGGAACCAAGAACAGACTTTGAGCCCTACAGGGTTTCCCTCATGTCACTTGGGAAGGCAGGGACCAGGGTTATTGTTCCTGCTTCCAAAGAAGACAGAGGGGCAGGGCCTTGCTTAAGGACATAGGAGTGAATAAGCAGCCAAATCAGTCTGGGACTCTGCAGCTTTCTGAGCAGCTGCATACTAAACCCCAGTAGGGGCTAGTGCCACGCTGGTCATCCCATACATACTGTCCCTTACACCTTAGAATAACCTGGTATAGAGCAGGGATTATGAGGCCCACTTTGCAGTAAAGAAAATTAAACTCAAGAAGGGGGAGTCACTTGCCCAGGGTCATTCAGCATGCTAGCATAGGTGCAGGATTTGAAGCCAGTGGGTCAGTGGTTTCCTGGGCATGGAGTGGAGGCTGTGGAGCCCAATGGCCTTCATCTGTGTCTTTAAGGAGCCACAGGTCAATGGGGGTGAGAATGGAGCCCTCTTCTCGGAGCCCCCCAAAGACAGAACCCACTGGCAGCCAGCCTGACAGGCACTTTTCCGCCAGCCTGGACAGAGTGCTGTCCCCAAGATGAAAATTAAAGGCTTTATGGCAAATACAGTGTGGGATTTCTGGGGGAGGGGGGTGAGACTTTGGGCGGGGAGTAAGTGATGAATGGGTGGGGCAGCAGGCCTCGCTTTCTCCACATCCCCCAGGAGCTCTGACTGTTCTTGCCGTCTCCACCCTGCACACACAGCCCTGCCTCTCCTTCTGAGTGGTACATCTCAAGAAGCAACAGCTGAGACTTCTCCATGCAGTCACATTCAAAAGGGAAAAGAACGTGAGCATGGTGGCTCATGCCTGTAATCCTAGCAGCCAGGGAGGCTGAGGCAGGAGGATTGCAGAGTTCAAAGCAGCCTCGGCAACTCAGTGAGACCCTGTCTCAAAATATAATAGTTTTTAAAAAAGGGCTGGGGATGTGGCTCAGTGGTTAAGGGCCCCTGGATCCCTGGTACCCGTCCCCCCCGCCCCGAAAAATGGGGGGGGGGTGTTGAAAAGGTTCCTGTATTTGAGTACTCCCATGGGGTGGGGGTGGGACTTTAAAGGGGAACTCATGACATATCCTAACATCTGAGATGGGTCACACAGGGAGTCCACAAAGGGAGCAACCTGTGTGTCGGGGGGTTGTGTGAACCGGGCTTTTAAGTCCCGGTAATTTTAAATTAAAATCCTTCTCAAGTTTTAAAAAAGAAAGAAATATAAGTACACACAAATGTGTCCAATTTTGTATTCAATTTCACGGGGTTTACAGGCGCACAGAAGCTCCTACAGCACCTGAGCAATTTAGAGCAGGTTAAAAAAAAAAATCCAGAGAACGCGAGGGCAGGATGCTCACAATACTGGTTATGAGAGTTCCGAGTTGGGGCCTCAGAAAAGAGGAAAACATTCTGCACCATCTAACATCCCAAGAAGCCCACTAGAAGGGCGCCCACTAGTGAGAGGGAGCAGCCTGCAGCTGGAGGAATGAGAGCGGAGCTCAGGAAAAGGCTTCCAGTTCGGGGGATGCTGATTTCAAAAGGATCCAGTTCCTTGCAGCTCTGCAATTCGGTCTTCTGGAGGAGAGACTAACCCCGAGCCGAGTAGTGCATGCGCACAGACCGCCACCGCACCGAGGTGGCCGCGAATACGTAATCGGACCCTGATTCGGGCCTTCCCGTGAGCCTTTGGGGCCGACTCCCGTGCAACGCCGGAAGCAGCCATTCTTGGTTTCCGGCAATAGGACAGCGGCGGCCTTGCGACCCGGAAGTGTTCCCATTTTGCGTCGTCGGGGCTCGGCGGCTACCCGGCTCCAGGCGTACGCACCACTATGGGGTCTTCAAAGAAGCACCGCGGAGAGAAAGAGGCGGCCGGGAGCACGGCGGCGGCCGGCACTGGGGGGACCACCGAGCAGCCGCCGCGGCATCGGGAGCACAAGAAACACAAGCACCGGAGTGGCGGTGGCGGCAGCAGCGGCGGTGAACGACGGAAGCGGAGCCGGGAACGTGGGGGCGAGCGCGGGAGCGGGCGGCGCGGGGCCGAAGCCGAGGCCCGCAGCAGCGCGCACGGGCGGGAGCGCAGCCAGGCCGAGCCCTCCGAGCGGCGCGTGAAGCGAGAGAAGCGCGATGATGGCTACGAGGCCGGTGAGGGCGGGGCTTGCGCGGGGGGGCGGGGCGGGGCCCGGGCGCCTGCTTGAAGCTCGCCCGGGGCTCTTTTCACCTGCATTTGTTAAAGGGTGTTGGGATTAAAGGTTGATCCTCTGCACTGAGCCCCGTGAAGACGAACGTCTTCTGTTTTCCTCAGTTGTCTCGCATGACAGGCTTTCAAATAAATGTGTTGGGGGAATAAATGAACGACTGGATGAAGTGGTATCAGTGTGTCCCGAAGCAAGAGAAAACCTGGTGTTGGGAAAATCGCGTAGAGACCTGAGGCAGTAAGGTGGGCGGGGTCTAAATACGGAAGGACCCTGTGCATTATGCTCTGCTCTGCTCTGCTCTGCTCACGGTAGGGAGCCTAGGATTTGAGTTAGGGAATGGGTCAGATTCATGTTTGTGAAGCCCACTGCATTGAGAACTTGTTCAAAGACAGGACTGGAGGCCCAGGAGTCAGGAGGGCTATAAACCCACCAGTGAGGGCTGATTGTGGTCTAAACCAAGAATTTTGCTAGGAGGGAGTGATTAGTAATGTTAGACTCCACAGGGGATCAAGCAAAACCAAAACTGAAGAAGGAGGCTGGTGACCTTGGAGAGGCTGGGATCCAGGGCCATGTAGAGAGAAAGAGAACTTGGGTATTTAAGAGGAGGTAGGCTATGGGGATAGGGATTCAGGAAAGGATTTGCTCCTAATGGCAGGATGCTCTATCCAGTGGTGTCCAGCTTCTCTACATAGTGTTCAGTGAAGTTCTTTGCTGTTTGTGAGGTGGACGAGGGAGGTCCAACATGCTAAGTTATCAGTGTCCTGAACATGTCACATAGAAGAGTCACCAGTGTTTCTCAACTGCTTGAATTGCATAGAGGACACGGTCATGCTGCAGACAGCCCCTGCTGTGTGGGGAGAAACAGACCCAGCCATGATGGACTGTGCCAGAGTTCATGGCAGAATGGTTAATTCTGATTAGCAATTGAATGGGGCTTCATGAAGGAGGTGGTATTTTGATCTTTGCATTTGGATAGGATTTTTTGTCAAAGAGGGCAAGTCCAGATTAGATTGTTAGATTCCTGACAGTTTAGATTGAAGATACAGAATATACAGAAGTGGAGAGGGCAAAGTGAGGGGTACAGAAATTTGGACCTTTTGGGTCAGGAAAGGAGGATGCATAGAAGAGAGAGAGAGATCTGTCAATGGAAACTTGTATAGAGGAGCTGTTGGGGAGCCCAGAGAAGAAGAAGCTGCTGTTGTCTGGTGTTCAGCAGGCCCAGGTGCTGGTGAGGGGCCCTCATCTTTGACCCTGCAGCTGGAGTCGGTGATGCTGGCTTCTTGGCCCTGTGTTCAGCCCCTGCCATGCCTCTTGTTGTTTCAGCTGCCAGCTCCAAAAGTAGCTCAGGAGATGCCTCATCGCTTAGCATTGAGGAGACCAAGTGAGTACTATTTCCCTTGGGCTTCTGCTTTCTTCTTCTGGGGCAGCCATATTGGATGACATTCTCACACTAAAGTGGGCCAGGTGGAGTTGGAAGGGTCGTATGAATTGTCTTAGCTAAGCGTTTGAGTTATAGAGGGAGGAATTAAGACGCAGGAAAAAGGATGATATTCACTGGTTGGGGACAAGCCAAGACTAGCACCCATATTCCCTGGTAGGGAGACCAGTGCCATTTCCACTATCCAGGGCTGCCCAGGTTAGGGTGTATGTTTAGGATAGGGTTACTCATTCCCACCCTAATTTTTACCTCCTATTTGTCCAAAAATGCATGTGGTGCCCCATTTCTTGTGGGTTTTGTTTGTTTTTGTGGTGTTGGGGTGGAACCCAGAGTATCATGCATACCAGTCAAGTGTTCTTCCACTGATCTACATCTCCAACCTGACACCCCATTTATTTGGCAGCCCCTAACACTTATATCTCTTGTCCTTAGTAAACTCCGGGCGAAGTTGGGGCTGAAACCCTTGGAGGTCAATGCCGTCAAGAAAGGTAAGTTTAGGGCTGAGGATGGGGTCAAGGGAGGTACAGCGACCATCTGTAAGGGTCTGTGAAGAAAATGGTGTTAGAGTGCAGAGGCAGCAACACTCAGTGGTTGTGTGTGTGTATCTGCCAGAGAGCACAAGGCCTCTCCTTGCTGTAGTGGGGATCTGGTGTGTGGCTTGCTCTGGTTCACCGTGGCATCCTCACTCTGGCTGGAAGGTGCTCTTAGTCGGGCTGAGACTTGCACAGTTGCTGCAAACTGACTGGACTGCGTGAGATTGGTTTTTTAATTAAAATAGAACAACATGATTTGAGGAGGTTTGGAAAGTGTAGAGGGTCCTGTCGTTCTTTGTGGGGGACACAGAAGTATGGGGATGGAGCGGGGGCAGGGAGGTGAAGGGTTCTTCCCCTTTCCCTGGCTCCTTCTGGCCCTCTGAGCTGGAAGGGGGCAGGGTGAGTGGCTCCCTCCTCTCCCCACCAGCCATGGGCAGGCATAGCCTCACGTCTGGGCCCCCCTTCCAGAGGCGGGCACCAAGGAGGAGCCCGTGGCGGCCGATGTCATCAACCCCATGGCCATACGACAGCGAGAAGAGCTCCGGGAGAAGCTAGCAGCTGCCAAGGAAAAGCGCCTACTGAATCAAAAGTTGGGGTGAGGGGTCCCAGCCAGGGACAGGCAGAGGAGGCTGCTATTCTTGCTGCCTCATGGGTTGGGGTTGGGGAGCAGGTGGTGAGCTCCCCCAATCCTCACTCCCTTCCCTCCTCAGGAAGATAAAGACACTGGGGGAAGATGACCCCTGGCTGGACGATACTGCAGCCTGGATCGAGAGGAGTCGACAGCTTCAGAAGGAGAAGGATTTGGCAGAGAAGAGGGTGAGCAGCAGGGCAGCTGGGGTGGTTGCTAGGGGCCTCCGGGGGCTGCCAGGTGAGGCTGGAGCCTGGCCCTTGAGAGGTGAGATGGCTCAGAGAGGAGGGGGACTCATGGTCGGGCCATGAATTATCTGCAGCTTGCCTGCGAGGCCTTCCCTTTTTGTGCTTCCTCTTGTTAGAGACCTGGGTGTTTGCTGGTGATGCTGAATGGCCCGAGGTCACAGGCCACCCCTCTCTGTCCCATAGGCGAAACTGCTGGAGGAGATGGACCAAGAGTTTGGTGTCAGCACTCTGGTGGAGGAGGAGTTTGGGCAGAGGCGACAGGTAAGGCTGCAGCAGCTGGGGAGGGCAGGATGGGGGTGTTGCCACCTTGGTGCTGGGATCTCAGGGTTGGGTGAGTTACAGCTCCTGACTCAGGTGGATCTTCCTCCTTAGGACCTGTACAGTGCCCGGGACCTGCAGGGCCTCACTGTGGAACATGCCATTGATTCCTTCCGAGAAGGGGAGACTGTGATCCTTACCCTCAAGGACAAAGGTGAGCGAGCTGGGTGTTCTGGAGGAGGTCCCAGACACTGCTG